GTGCTTTTTATAAGCGTAAAACACAAAATAATTACTATAACTGGTGTTTGGTTTCAAACTCGGACAAACTAGACAAATTAATCAGATTTTATTTTTAATTGGATTAACGATTAATGTTTTAAATTAATTAAACCTAGTCGCAGCCAGCGATTAACGATTAAAAAAATGTTATCATTAATCGTACAGTTGATTACGACTAATTAATTTTAATCGTCAAACGCGATTAACATTTTAATCGTTAATCAGATTAACAGTTTGCCAACACTGTGTGAAATCATGTTCATATTCACGGAGAAAAATGGACGTTTTTGGAAAAGAGGCGTAGCACCTCCCATACTGACTGAAAGTTTCATATTGCATATCTCTTCAAATGTTTGGGGTAAAGCACTCAAGCTTGGTATGGAAATACATATGTATGTACGTATGTGAAACTAATACCATACTCATGGAGAAAAATGAGAGTTATTGGAAAAGGTGGTGTGGCAACTCCCATGCAAATTGATTTTTCTATGCTGCATATCTCTGGAGGTGTTTATTGCAGAGGACTGGAACTTGGCACCGAGATGTGTATACAAAATTAATTCCATACTCATGGAGAAAAATTTGCGTTATTCGAAAAGGGGACATGGTTCCTCCCGTAAAAATTTACTGTTTTATACTGCTTATCTCTAGAGGTGTTCATGGTAGAGTACTGGGACTTGGTACTGGGGTATGTAAAATCAATTCTAAATTCATGGAAGAAGATTAGGGTTATAAGAAAAAGGGGCGTGGCACTTCCAGTACAAATTTACTTTTTCTTGCCACATATCCCTGGAAGTGTTTGTGGAAGAATACTGGAACTTGGTATGGGGTTGTGTATACAAAATGTATCAATTGCTCATGGAAAAAATGTGAGTTATTAAAAAAGGAGGCATGTCGCCTCCCATACATACTAAAAACTTCTTAATACATATCTCTGGAAGGTTAGAAAATATGTCGAAGTATTTTAAATTTGTTATGGAAATTTATTTCATAAGTGCCGTACTGACAGAATAAATTTCATTAAATGGAAAAGGGAGAGCCGGGTTCGGCCTTATAATCTATCGGTATTTTATCAAGGCCAGGTTACTAAATTTGAGTTGGAAATATTACAACCCGCCCTAGCACCTCCAAGAAGGTTACACGTTCACGCGTCGTATACCCGGAACCATTTTAAGGTAAGCTTAGAGGGATTGATATCTTTCGTATGCCTAGCGCGCAGACGAGATTTTATAATTTCATAGTTTTAAACGGCCTAAATACCTTAACTCGCTTTAAAAATAACGAGCTATAAAAAATAACGAGCTATTTGTATAAAAGCGCGGGGTGAAACCCGCGGGTATAAGCTAGTAAGATATAAATAAATGAGTTTGTAGAAGGGGGCGTGGCTCATCTCATAATAATGGAATTTTTAATCAGCCATAACTCCGAACCCATAAGTCACATGAACCTGAAATTTGGTATGCAAACATATCTATGGTAAGTGCTTATAGTAAGGCGTTTGTAAAAGGGGTCGTAGCACATACATAGGCGTGGACGTTTTCATCAGCCATTTCTTCGGAATCGCAAGTCACGTGACCCCTTCAACTCCTACTGATATGCCTTTCCAATTTAAAAAAACTTCAGTTTCCTGTTCACAAGAATGAAAACCCAACTGTTTATCGATAATAAAATGTATGATAATTGCATTGGAAAATGTATCTAAGTTAATAGAGCTTTGAAGTACTAAAAACATGCTGTGGAATAATATTAGAGTTATTATTCGTAAGAAATTAGATTGTTAAAATTTAGTTATTACAATACAACGTTGGTATTTCTACTATTATACAATTTACTGGAGATATTTTAATGTAAATAAAAACACCTGATGTGCCAAAAATTATTATTGCTTTTCATTCCATACCACCCCAGCGTGGCGGAAAACCCGCGGGAAAAAGCTAGTTTGTAATAAATCAAAATCAAAACCATGATACAAAAAAAGAAGGTAGTTTCACTTTAAAATTTTTTTACATAAATTGTGCTTATGACGTTTATGCTTTTCGTAAATTTATCGAGTATCACTGCCACCTCAACAAATTATAGTTTTGGAAATTTTTCTATTCTTTAAAGGAATTTTTTATGCATTAAAAATAACAACACGCAAGGTAAATTTACTTAATTCATCGTATTAGCATAGCTGTTAATAAGTGAGTATTAATTTAAGATACCTTAAATTACCTTACCGCCAAAAAAATTGGCATTATATGCAGAGTTTCATGAGATATTATTATAGATATTAGGATGTTGCTTTAATTTGGATCCTTTTTAGAGAACATATGAACAACGGAATAGTTAAAAAGGAGCTTATCGTCAATGAAAGCACTATGGAAGCATAAATTTAGAGGGAGGTAAAAAAATTTAAAAATTTTTTGAGCTCCTTGTTATAGTTTATAGACAGACAAGCTACTCGCTCTACTGCTGCTGGTGCAGCGTTTCGCTTAGATTGGGCACATCCGTGCCGAGGCTGAAAATTTTCCGCCGAAAGTGGTTGGAACAAGCAAACAACACCTTGGGGAAGTTACCATGCACGTGGCCATCCCGAAATATGCAGCTAATCGTACTAAATAATGATGAAAATAATTGCATTAACAAATAGATTATCCATGTGCATTACGCAATGTAATAGGAGTATTTTACTAGCCTTCCGTATTATAATTAATTTTAGAAATAAACCACTAATAGCTCGCTAAAAAGTGATGCTCAAAATATATTCCTTGAAATAATTTTGGAATAATTTTTTTTAAGTAAAAAACCACTTTTTAGTTTCTTCAAAGAATATGGTAGCTCCAATTTAAAAGAAAACGTCAAAAGCACAGTTTACGTCAAATGGGAGCAATGGCGGATAAGAAGAAGAAGTAAAACTACCTATAATTATGTTTGTATCATGATCAAAACTAAAGTCGCTCATAAAACATATCAAATTGCTAAAACAGCAATTCCGAAGCGATAGATGATGATCTAAACAAAACGGAAAAACATCAAAAACACTACGAAAATTTTTTTCTGAAACTTGATTACAAATAAAACGATGGAGGATTGCGTGATCTGTAGTCGTTGGTTCATGGTGCCACACCATAACGCCATAGCCGTAACCATAGCCATAGAGAACAATTGAATTTCGGTTTTCCGCCATAACCATATCAGCTGATATCGTGTTGCCAGACGTTCAAAAAAATATTGTTCACAGCCAAAGTTTTGGCATAAGTGTAGCTATGCAAAAGCCAAAAGTGTGGCTTGATAGAACTTCTCACTCTGATTTCAACTGTACCAAAATTATTTGGCGCAAAAATATAAAAAAGATTTAAAAGTTTAAATTAAAATTTGAAATATTAATATCTTATGAACTACATAACCGATTTGAAAACTAACGATGCCAAAAAAAAAGATGCAATGCATTTATCTTTCTGGTGATGCCCATAATTTATATGCTTTATTTTATTTTTAATCCAAAAATACTAAAAAACGAAAAGAAATTACGGTTTTTTTCATAAAATAACCTTTTTCAACAAAATTTCATGATTAATGCAAAATAAATTTATACTATTAAGAAGGCACAAGTTATTATATTTAAGTTCTGCGCAAGTATCCTACGATATTACACATTTTCCGCATCTTGTGACGCGTCTGGCAACACCGACATTGCTGATTACGAAAAATCAGCTGTTTATGGTTATGGTATCTATAATCGATGATAGTTAATGTGGTTATGGTTATGGCAATGGTTATGGCTATGGTGTTATGGTATGTCACCACTAATTAGGCTTTAATTTGGCCAGCCAATCGACAATAAATCCCAACAAGCGTATTAAAGATGATAAAATATGACATCCAAGTCGTTAAATATATCTAAAATACTAGTGAAGACAACGATTAGAATGAGTAGAACGTAAGTTTTCAAGTAGTTTCCAGCGAAAACTGGTTTTCGTTTGACAGATTTTACATGGACGAAAACACAAGTTTTAGGTCGAAAACCAGTTATAGCAACGAAAACATGTTTTCGATGTCGGTACGAACATTATATTTTAGTCAACATAACATTGTTTAAATTTTGTTGGCCAGTGTAATTAGCATAGATAGATGTATGTACTTATGTATAATAAAGAAATACGCACAGGGTAGGTGAGCCTAGGTTTCCTCTTATTAATAGCATAGATCTTTTGGAATGAACGTAGAGCTTCTGCATTTCTCCCTTGGGACATGAGAAACTTAGGACTCTCAGGTAATATAATGAAGCCCAGTCCGCTGAGTAAGCTTGGTAAGCCGCATACTACCAAGAATATTTGCCAAGAATGAACTGAAATTATTCAATGTTAAGATAAATTTTCTACCACAATTACGGAATATGTATACATACATATATGTACATACCTGTGAGAGTATTAAACAAAACGAAATCCCAATCTCTTGGAAAAATCGCCCAAGCTATCAATGGTAAAACCAGAGTTGCCACAGAATTAATCATACCCACAACCATGAGAACTCGTGGACGATGCTTGGCCCCATGCATCTCAGTTAAGTATGTAAAAAGAACAGCTCCAGGTCCATTTACGCTGTAATAAAAATAATTAAATTGACCGAAACGACATTTTTGCGTATCAACCTTACATAAAGCCACCGAAGAACTTAAAAATGACAAGCATTTGAAAGTTTTGTGTCAAAGAACTGCTAAGTACACAAAGAGCATCAGCCAAATATCCGGATATCAAAATTTTTCTTCTGCCAAGTGTGTCTGCCAGATAACCCCAAATAATTGCCGATGTAATCATGCCCGCGTAGGTTGCTGCATTTAAAATACCTTTATCGAAAAGCGTCATTTTTAAATCACACTCGGCAACTGGCAAAAGATAGGACATTGTAGTGGTCTCAAAGACAGAGGCAAAAGCCGCAAAAGATGCAACGATTAGCAAAAGCAAATTAAATATGCCGAAGCCCGCTGTGTCCATGGCCTTTTCGAAGTTGGCGGGATCCTCTTTCAAGTGTTAAAATATGACCATGAAATAATTTTTTATCGAAAAAAAGAAAAATAGAAATTAAATAAATGGGTGTATTTAACCACTATCCTTTTAATAGGGTTGATCCTAAAATCGGATATATAGATGTATTGCAAAAAAAATCGAATAATCTAAGTGTGTATTTAAGTAGGTAGACATTCCTCGATTTGTAAAAGCTGTATTTTCAAACGAGTAATCGAAGCTAAAAACACAACTATCAGCTATGAAATTCGTACGATTATAAATCGATGTTACAAAATTCTCTATTAAAAGAAAAAGTTGGGAATAAATTGGTATACCTATCTGAAGTAACTTTTTCTAACAACCCTAAAGTATTTATATAATTTGTTGTTAAAGGTTTTATTCAAACGATGAATAAGATAGCAAAATAACATCAAACTTGGTGCTGCCAGACTGTGGAAATTTTTAATAATAAAAACAGATTTTTGGTTCGGAATTTTCACCAAGTAGAATTCTCTTTTCTGTGTTGCCGAAGAAGAGGGGCGGAACTCATTTATGCGTAGGCGGCCTTCTGCCGCACTTAAGCGTCATATACAGTTCAATGCGAGCGTGAGCGTGAACATTCGCAAAGGCAAAGAATTCCATTTGTATTCTTATGGACGCTCACACACATCTGTCAAAACTTGTCGTTCACATACGAATGCTTTGCGTACGCACACAGTTGAATGTGAGCTTGAAAAAAGGGCATATTATGCATTTTAAATCACTTTTTATTCTATAATGTTGAAAGNCCTATCTGAAGTAACTTTTACTAACAACCCTAAAGTATTTATATAATTTGTTGTTAAAGGTTTTATTCAAACGATGAATAAGATAGCAAAATAACATCAAACTTGGTGCTGCCAGACTGTGGAAATTTTTAATAATAAAAACAGATTTTTGGTTCGGAATTTTCACCAAGTAGAATTCTCTTTTCTGTGTTGCCGAAGAAGAGGGGCGGAACTCATTTATGCGTAGGCGGCCTTCTGCCGCACTTAAGCGTCATATACAGTTCAATGCGAGCGTGAGCGTGAACATTCGCAAAGGCAAAGAATTCCATTTGTATTCTTATGGACGCTCACACACATCTGTCAAAACTTGTCGTTCACATACGAATGCTTTGCGTACGCACACAGTTGAATGTGAGCTTGAAAAAAGGGCATATTATGCATTTTAAATCACTTTTTTTCTATAATGTTGAAAGATATTTCAATTCTCTATCTTGTCATGTATGAACTATTGCAAAGGTTTAAGTAATAACGAAGATATTGGTCAATATAAAAAGCTCACGCTCACGCTCGCATTGAACTGTATAGCAGACTTTAGGGATTATAACCCTCACTAAGTAGAATTCTCCTTTCTGTGTTGCCAAAGAAGAGGGGTGGAACACCTTTCTGCGTAGGCGGCCTTCGGCCTCGCTTAGGGATTATAACACTTACTAAGTTGAATTCTTTCTGTCTTTCATTTTCTTTTTATGCCCGAGCGCACTTGTGCAGAAGGGTATATTAATTTTGTTCATATAACGGTGGTTTGTAACAGCCAAAACGAATCGAGATAGATATAGACAAATGTATACATAAATGCTCAGAATGAATAGGGAAGTCAATTAAGCCATGTCTGTCTGTCCGTCCGTCTGTCCGTCTGTCCGTCCGCCCGTGTACACGATAACTCGAGCAAAAATTGATATATCTCAACGAAATTTAGTATGTAGGTTTCCATTAATCCAAGGTAGGTTGGTATTGAAAATGGGCGAAATCGGACTGTAACCACGCCCACTTCCCATATAACGGTAATTTCCAGAAATACGAAAACTGCGATATTTTAGTAACTACTGAAGATAATTCACTCAAAATTGATATTTACAATAATTTTCAGACGAAAAATAACAATATTTTTAAAAATTTTGGAAAATGGGCGTAGCCACGCCCACTTATGGTTACGTGTGTATTTCTTGGTAACCGCTGCACCAATTTCTTCTACTACTAGCATACTAAATGGCTGAAAATTTAAAAAATCGGACAATAACCAGGCCCACATCCCATATAACGGTAATTTAGAGAAATACAAAATCTTCGATAAATCAGTAAATATTAAAGCTAATTTATTCAAAATTGATGCTTGCCACAATTCTTTACCAAGAAATACGTTTAAATGGTAAAATTTTGGAAAATGGGCGTGGCACCGCACACTTATGATCACATATATGTATATCGGTAAACGTTCTACCAATTTGTAGCAAACTCGGTAATTTTATTGTGCTTGCCACATAAAAGCAAAACGTTGCAAATTATTGAAATCGGACTAAAATTACGGCCGCTTTTCATATAACGGTTGTTGGCGCAGTAAAGTAGTTTCGACTACCAACATACATTTTTTAAGACTATTCAGTGTTGCCGTTTTCGTTATTTTTAACCAGTTTTGGTTATTTTTTTCTTGCTTGTAAAGTTGTTAAGCTCTTTCCCATTTTGGTTATTTTTAACATTTTCTGTAGTTTCTAATTTTTGTATACATACAATAATTAAATCTTTTAAAAATAGTATAAGCAAATACATTTATTCTGCGCAATATGGTTATTTAACTTAACTAAAATGGCAACTCAAGATTCGACTTATTCCGATAATAGTCATGTGTTTACATATGCAAAAGAACATGTAAAAGTTCGAGGGTGCAACTATTATCGGTTCGTGTCTTTAATAAATCGCGGTGAATTAATCGCCAAGTTTTTGAAACGGCCCCGCAGTTACACTATTTCTATGTTCTTTGCACACACCTACATATTGTAGTGGTCTCAAAGACAGAGGCAAAAGCCGCAAAAGATGCAACGATTAGCAAAAGCAAATTAAATATGCCGAAGTCCGCTGTGTCCATGGCCTTTTCGAAGTTGGCGGGATCCTCTTTTAAGTGTTAAAATATGACCATGACATAATTTTTTATCTGAAGTAACTTTTTCTAACAACCCTAAAGTATTTATATACGTCATACTCCCAGTAGCCAAGAAGAGTGCCCCTACTAATCCTAATGATTATAGGCCGATCAGTATATTACCAGCACTAGCAAAAGTATGTGAGTCCTTGATGGCAGTTTGTATTTTGGTCGATTTTAAATTTGCTACCCCAAAATAATTGATATCAAATAAAACACCTCTTTGAGGTAAAAGTTTCGAGTGACGAAAGCTGAACTAGAAACACAAAATTTATGATATCAATTTCGTGACGAAAATTATACTCATTTTTTGACTGCCCTTGAAACGTACGGAAAATCTTTTTTTATTTATTCGGAACGTTGCGTTTTCTGCTAGAAACACAAAGTAAAAAACAGAACTTATGCAACGATTCGTATGACGTATGTAGGTTTCCATTAATCCAAGGTAGGTTGGTATTGAAAATGGGCGAAATCGGACTGTAACCACGCCCACTTCCCATATAACGGTAATTTCCAGAAATACGAAAACTGCGATATTTTAGTAACTACTGAA